TAGTTTCCAGGTCATTAATTTCCATCTCTATCTGACTTTCATCTTCAATCCACTGTTCTACAGCATCTAGGGAGTCAATGAATGCGTCTTCTGGCAGATTCTCTGGCTTTAATAACCTGCCAAACGTGAGTCTTTCACCACTTGCAGGTACAAGATCAGGTCGCCTCGATAACGCGTCCGGTTTAGCAGAGTCCTTCCCTGGACGAAAACGGATCTCGAAATCGAAGCTCCCCAGGATTTCCGCCCATCTTGCTTGCCGACGGGTCAACTCTTTTGTGGTCATTAAAGATTGCAGGTTTTTGTGGTCTGTGTACACAATAATTACATTCAACCTGTTCGGATTTCCTTCCAGATACTGACGCCATTCTTTGAATGCCAATATGACTGCAAGTAATTCTTTGTCAAATATCTCATAATTCCTTTCTGCCTTGATTAGCGATCTCAACAGGAACGCTACAGGATGTAGTTCATTATCAATTTTGGAAACTTGTGACAAAACCGCTCCTAACGCGTAATCAGAACAATCACACTCGAGGATGAATGGCGCATATGGGTCTGCTATAGTCAGCACTGGTGCAGTCGTGAAGGCTAGTTTCAGAGTTTCGAATGCCTGATTACGTTCCTTGCTCCAATCAAATTTTACTCCATCTTGTGACAATTCGTGAAGAGGTCGAGCTATTTTTGAAAAGTGATGAATAAAGCGCCTATAGAAGTTTGCAAACCCTAAAAATGTAAGTACTTCAGATAAGTTTTTTGGTGCCGGCCAGTCACGGACTGCTTTGACTTTTCCTTCATCCATGTGAATTTGATTTCTCGAGATAATTAATCCTAAGTAAGCTATTTCTTTTTGTGAGAATCTGCACTTCTTGGGCTTCAACCAGACATTCTGAGCCTTCAGTATTGCTAAGACTTCTTTCACTACTGCCTTGTGATCTACTCCAGGTTTAGTGTAAATCAGAATATCGTCTTGATACGCCGCGACATCCTTCCCAATATGGCTTTGTAAGATGTCTTGTATGAAGAACTGAAAGAACCCGGGTGCTCCAGTCGGACCAAACGGCATCGTTAACGGCTTGAATTGCCCAGCTTTGCAAATGAAGGCCAGTTTCGACTTGTCCCCTTCCCTGACACGTAAATTATTATAACCATTTCTCATGTCCAAACTCGTGAATTGGTCTGCGTCTAGAAGACTGTCTATTAATTCCATCGTAAGTGGGAGGGGATACTTATTTTTGATTGTTAATGCATTTAATCTTCGGTAATCAAAACAAGGCCTTAAATTGCCATCTTTCTTTCCTGTAAATAGAACTGGAGCCGCCCAAGGTGAAGTGGTTCTTCTTATGGTTCCGTTCGCCAACCCCTTCTCTAACATTTCATTGAGTACTTCATTTTCTTTAGGAGATAAGGGGATAATTCGTCCAGCCTGTGGGGTTGCTTCAGGAACTAAATCCACACGGAAGTCGTAAGGCCGGTGTGGTGGTAGAACATTTGAGTTGGACTTTTCGAACATGCCCAGAAACTCGTGATAGCAATCTGGTACCATCTCCTTGGCCGTTCGTACAGGTTTCTCTTTAGCATCTTCAGCTGCTAACCTTGCTGACACATTCCATGATGCTTTAGAAGCATCAATCATTGCTCCAATTGGTTGTTCTCGAAGCAGACAATGGTTATGTGCTTGGGGTCGCGCTCGTAGTCCTGTTCTCAATCTTTGTAGGAGAGAAAATTGCTTGCTAACGTTCTTCTTGGTAAATGGTGAATGGGCATTATCACACTTACTTGGCGGGGGTTTTTCCGGGTTTGTTTCAACCACTACCCCCATCTCAATGTTCCTAGCTTCCCCTTCAGGCCTCATGTCGTGGTTTTTCAGGGGTGTTTGCGGATACCTTGAGACTTCAGCCAAGTTCGTGCTGTTCATTTCACTATCAAATTTCAAAGGGAGACTATACTCGCCAGCTGATGCATGATTGTCATTAATTTGAGAAGTTGCACACTCACATTGCGGGGGTGTTGTCGAGTCAAGATTAACTCGCACCCCCTTGTTACTGTTCCTAGCTTGCCTCTTAGGCTCCAATCAGTGGTCCATCGAGGTGTTTTTTGGCAGCAACAAAACTGTCTCAGCAGTTGCAATGTCCATCTCGTGAGTCTTGAGTTTTCCTTCTTTCCAGTCAATTAATTCGTGATTTTCCTTGATCCATGGCATGCCTAAAATGATGTCATACTTGTCTCTTAGTGTTGTGACAATGAAGGTGGTCCCGGTCGTCTTGTTGTTCACACAGCAGTCTCCTGAGTGCGTTATTGTCATTTCGTGTCCACTGAAGCCGGTGACGCTTCTTCTCTGCGGTAGGGGGCTAAGCTCAAAATTGTGGGTCTTCACAAAATTCTCACTTATAGCTTCATGCGTGGCACCGCTGTCTACCAGCGCACGTGCTTTCTTGGTTGTGTCAGTCTTAGGGTCATAGAGCAAAATGAAGTCGATAATTCGTGTATCATTCATTTCAAGAGAATCAATAAAATTTTCATTTAACCCTAATTTGATCACGCTCGGGGTAGGCACAACCTTCAATCCCGAGCACCTCCATTTTTTGCCTCCTCCGCTCTTCCTTCTACTTTCTTATCACTTCCATCTAATTGAGCATCTAATTCATCTATACGCGCTTGAATTTTACTCTCTAACTCCTGAATCCTTGAACTTCCTCCTTGATAACCACCTGAGTAACTTCCACCTGAACGTCCTCTACTAAAACCTCTCGAATAAGTACTGCCTGAAAAACCTCCACCCCTTCCTCTTCTCTTTCTCATCGGACAGTCGGCAATAAAGTTACCACTCTTTCCACAGTTGTAGCACGACCCGGTTGTTCCTCGACGTTGATATTCGTCTTGTGTGATGTCCAACCAATAGGCCGAGCAATCCATGGCGTCTGGGTCAATTGGCTGAGTTGACTGTGTGCTCTGAGTTGTGTGATTCAAGGTAGGTTGGTCTGCATTGCGTTTGTTGATCTTGTTGTCTAGTCGAATTGCCAGTTTAGCCATGTCCTCCACATTCTCAAATTCATCTCGAACCATCAGCACAGAGATTTCAGTCTTGAGGCCTTGCTTGAATTGTGATCTCAATATACTATCTTGCCATTTGATGATTAAGGCCAGTTCAGAGAAACGGATCCAATAGTCGGATGCAGATTTCGTTTGCTTCAATTCACGCATCTCTTTCTCCGCCTTAGTTACACGTTCACTATTGAAGAAGGTGCTCTTAAATCAGTCTATGAATCTGTTCCAAGTTACAGTCTGAGCTTTCTCACTATCAAGTAGCTGATCCGTTAACGTTTGACCCCATATGTTGGCTTTGCCTGTCGTGTAGCTTAAGGCAAAGGCAACCTTGGCCTGATCGTTCGGAAATACACCAGCGTTCAATTGCATGTATAACCCTATTTGGTTCATGAAGATTTCTGCCTTCAAACCTTTAGAGCCGTCAAATTTGTCCGGGGTAGCGACCTTCGGTGCACGAGGGATTGCTTGTTGAACAGGGATCGTGTGGGGCTGAAACTGTGGTGGGTGATTCATTTCAACATGGGGTGCAGATTGTTCAGCCGTTTGATTTCTTCTCATTTCCTGCAGTTCACGCTCCGCCGTTTGGCGAAGTGCCGTTTCCTCGTTCAACCTTGCGTTTAGCTCATTTAACTGACGCATGATGTCTTCCAAAGTTGTAGCCATTCTCTGATCTGTGGTTTCGTAGAATAGTGATCCTTCAGATTCAGATTCCGACAAACTTTCAATAGGTAATGTGAATTTGGGCGTTTTGACTGATGAAGTGATGCAGTTTGTGAATTAACTAGTGGATGATCTGAGAATTGTTAGAACCTTGTTTGTTTTACAGCTTGAAGATCTGGTATCGATTGGATAGCCTGCAGCGAATGTTTCAATTTCTTGCACTTTAACTTTCTTCTTTCTTCTAAAAAAAAACTTTTTAATTCAAACTTTGATTTTCTTTTCTTATTATAACTTCTTTCTTTCCTTTTCTTTTTCTTCTTTTCTTAACTTTGATTAATTGAGTGTTGTCCCGTTGTTTGTATTCTTGAAGATAGATGTTGCAATATGTTATGGTCTTGAGAGAGAGAGAACACAAGCAACTGGAAGCACTATGATGAGATTGCAACGTGAAGGAGAAGCGTGTGATGGGCTTCTCCCAGTACTACAAAGGCCTAATACAATTATAAGCATATTGGTTCACTATTAGGCTCTTTACAGTGCCTCAATCCTGGAGGTGTAACATAAGAGGCCCTGTGTGGTATAAAACCCGGTCCACTCCTTGCTTGACACTACGTAAATTGCCTGAGAAGGTACCAGAGAGCTATGACATAGCCTACCAGGATGGTGGGTGGGTGCAAAATGAAGGATTTGTGAGAGCTTGATTGCCCTACTTGACTATGTGCAGGTGAAGATACTAATCATTGGGAAGGGAATTTTTTTTCTTTTCCCCTCCCTGTAACTTTGCCTCACACTCCTTTGTTGTGTATGCAAATTACATATGCACCTAGGTCTCTTCCTACCCTTCTAGCACTGATGAAAGTATCTCAACATGTTGTGCCTTTGGTGGTAAGTAGAAATGAAATTATTTAGAAATCCAGTTGAAATCCAGTTGAAGTCAGTGGTAGTCACTGGCCTTCCCGTGACCAGTAGCTGGGGGCTGTGTATATGAATTTGACTTCCACCAAATTCCCTGATTGGGTGTGCTTGCACAAAGATGTGAAAGTTCAAAGGTTCACCACTTCCTTTGGGTGTGCTAAACACACAAAGGTGAATTACAAAAGCTTCTAAAGAGTACTTATTCTAACATCCACAAGGATAGGAGAGCTCCAAAAAAGAATTGACTGCATCTCAAAGGCAGCAACACTCCTTGCCCCATCTGTTTGGCCATCTTTCCAAGGTCAGATAAGTCTCCACTTGTTATAAATAGGGACATATGTAATAAAACTAAATACCCTAAAAAAGTGTATGTAATGCACTTATAACATTCTGGGTTTGCGGAGCAATTTGGACTTATTCACAGGGAGATGTTTACCACAAGTGAGCTCATTACATTTTTCACGTTGCTTATGCACCATCTGACATCCATCAGGCATGTCAAAGTTGTCATTACAAACCGTGCATTGCCATGTGGTGACCTCAATGTTACCACGACACCCTTCCGGATTGTGATTGTGTAGGCATGTAATTGTTCTTGAGCACGAAGAGAGCTTTGTGTGTTTTGTGTATGAACAACCCCCATTGCAACCAGCAATGGTATGCTGGACACCTAGGGTCAAAGCTAACAATAGCAGGGTCTTGAGGCTGGCTGTTGAATTCATTTTGGTGCACAAGATCCCTTGTATAGTACTTAAGTCGAGTTCACTTCTTCAATGATCTAGATTTTTGAAATCAAGCTGTCGGAGCTGTTAAAAACATAAAGTATTAAGTAATAAGTGAAATGTTTGATCAACTGACCAAAATAATCCGTGATGGGGATTTGTCTGATTCCTGACGGAATGCTGGTAAGTTTCAGATGAGACTACCTGAAAAAAGTGAGGAATTTGGTCAATATCATCGGTGAGCCACTGGCATTTTGAACTACATGAGGCCAGGTGCATTGATTTGATGGCTAAAAGAATCAGATATCCCTTGGCCACGGAAGAAACAGGTGCAAATGATCTGAGGAGAAACAGTGTGGGGGTTCACCTTTGCTTCACGCAAATCTTTGTGGATCCGGCTCAGAATTCGGAGTTGGGTGGAAATGTGATGAACCAAGGCAACCGTCCCGATGTTGTACAAGATTGATTGGGAGAAGCTTGCCTGAAAGTGGACAGAAGGGACAGAAACGTCTTCTTTTATGCCGCTGTCAGATTGCAGAGAGAAACCCTCTGAGACCATCAGATAAGTCTTCCCCTCCTTTCATCATATCTAACGTGGTCATCGTTCCCGACAAGTCGGCTTTCTTATCAAAGTACACCTGCTGTCCCGCTGTGTCATGAATGACTCATGTAGGATGCTTCCGAAAGCCGTTGATCTCCCGCTGAAAACTTTGGATCTGAATCTTGATTGGCGCGATGTCTGATATCACAATGGGTCATCATGGAATCAGACATTTGGACAACTTTTTTCACCTCGATTTTCTTGTCTTGAGGCAGTTTCATTCAATCGAAAAATTTTCTGCAAACACTGCATCAAGACGGATCTCTGTTTTCTGTGACGAATCATGCCATACAAGCACCATTTACCTGTACAAATATTAGATCTAATAGTTTGATGAACAGCAAGCTGAGGATATGCAATGTCCCATTGACTGCAAGCGGGCGCAGAAATGTAGCTGTGTCAGTCTCATTGCTATACAGAATGGTGGCGGGCTCACTCAAAGTTTCACTCTGTTATCGAATCCATCATCTTACGTTACACTGTGCAATTGCTATGCCGGACTCGTTGGCTATTCGGCTATCCCTATTTTTTTAGCAAGGTGTCTGGAGCGTCATCCGCCGATCAACACATGTGACAACTCAACGATCAACGAGAGCCTTTCTTAAGTCCTCGTGATCTATTTAGGACAGGTGTTAAAGTTTTTGTGTCAATATTTATGCTTTTGTAACCCACTTGACTCCGCTATCCGATCTATCCCTACCGTCTTGCTTCATACAAGTGATTTTATTCATTCAATTTATCACAAGTATGTAACTCATCATCATTCAAAAATCGTAATCGTGATCCATGATCAACTCTTTTCATACTTTTTATCTTCATTGCTCTTTGTTATACTCGATTTACTATGAGATTCTCGTAGTTCTGATTTTGAGTCTTTTGATTCCTGTGCATTGCTCGGTTCAATCGTTTCCAGAACACTAGAGAATAGGCAAACATGTGAGGAATAACGATGGCATGTATCCATTTATAATTTGACCGCTTGGCTTAAATCTTCAAATCCATGAACCCTGTTCAGCTTCTTCAACTTCTGGGGATGCAAAGAGAGGGGCATTTGAAAAACGGAAAGTTTCACGGAAAACAAAGGAGTCGAGTATCTTCCCCCTTCCCTTGGCTATTAAACCTCCTCTTAGCCAAGCTATCTAAGACCACCTAAGAGGAAAAGGCTCTATCAATGCATGATCTCAGTCTTTGCCCCGAGTGTTTGCGCTTCTTTTGTCTTCAAGATTTTAGGTATGATATGTTGGGATTGGATATCCGACTTGACAAATCGCTCCTCATCCTGGAAGAAAAGAGAACCCAGAACATTGCTTGAGAAAAGAAAAGAATCAGAGATTGATTTAAAAAATCACAAATGAAACAATAGGTATCAACAGGAAATTTATTACAGCGGTTAATACTGAAACCACGCCTGAACTTGCCCGCCATTTACTATTACTGGGGCTTGGAGGTATAGTGTATGGGGAGCTCAATCAGGGCGAGGTCGTTTGAAGAAAAACATAGATACCATCAGCTTGCCTTCTACGGTGAACAGGTGAAGGTGGCCATTAGGGTTTGATCTCAAGGAATGGGTCTCTTGGCTCTAGATACCAAGTATCTGACTTCACATTGAGCGGCCACAGAGGCAAGCTTTATTAGCATCATGTAAAGCTTGAGAAAACTTGAAACAGAAGGACTTAGAAACTGCAGAGGTTCTGAGTGTAATGGATAGACAGTTGTCATGGCAGGACGTGTTTTCTTTTATGTGCAGGACTTAGGAATCATTTTGTCATTTCATTTCATCTCTTATTAGTCTTGTCAAAGGTTATGTTTCATTATGAATAAGGCGTCATCTCACCTGTTGTTTGATCATAGGATTATGTGATCTTGTTTTATTTTACTATTTATACGAAGCTCTCGTTAGTATTGTATTAGATTTCTTTTCTTTCTTATCAAGTTTTTCGTAATCATAGATCATCATCATTGTTTCTCTTTTAGGAAAAGAAAAAACAGCGCAGCTTAAGTTATCATCTAGGAGAGATTTCGGATTCAGGTATCAAGGGATCCTGTATTCTTAAATGACAAGCCAGATCACTACATTAAAACTCGATCCATTTTTTTTTCTTTCGTTTGCTCTAATAGAAGTGCTTCAAAATTGAAACTTTTTCTTTCCTTTAAAAACACGTATTTACAAGTTTTGGAAATCGACATTAAAACTTGTTAAAAACACAAATTCACATAAGGGTTGTGCTGAGCTAGGAGCTTTTGAGTCGCAGTTATAAAACTAGTAAAAACATTTTTCTACTTTGCTATATTTCCTTTTTCCGATTACATTGGTTCTTCGCTATCATTTATTGCCAGGGGTATCCATTTGCTAAGATCTTTTCTTCATTTTTATAAAAATTCCTTTTCTTTCCGAAATTCTTTCATTACCTTTTCTTTTGCTACCTTTTTATTTTTCTGAAGTTAGATTTAGATCACCATGAGCAGTTCCGGCATTAATCCTACTGCGTTGACTTCGGAATCCGCTCCCGACGTTTCCGATCCCACTCCTCACAATTCTCCAAGGGGAAACATTGATGTTCACATGAACGACGTCACTCCTCGCAACTCTCCGGCGGGTGGTATGCGTGATCCGCGCGCTTCCTTTTCTACTACCTCGGTAGTTTCCGATAATAGTGCCGCTTCGAGCACGGTCACTCAACAGGATTTAGACGCATGCATGCGTCAAATGGAGGAACGTTTTGAGAACACATTTGAACGACTGACTCGCAATTTGGTAGTTCCATCACAGCTCGACGAGATTACAAATCAACTCAACTCGCTCTCTGTTCTCTCTCCTACTCAACCTGCTCATGGCCCTTATCGTGCTCGGATGGGTCCTAGTTTGTATAACAGACCCCAACCAAATCTGGGTTTTCCAATGCCGGCAGGTATGTAGCAACGCTATGTAGAGCCCTTTTCTCATCTCCAACCACCTCGCATGCCGCAACTGGTTCGTCACACGCCACCTCCAATCATTCAACCTTTGTATGTATCGCCGTTGCCTCAAGCACCGCGATACCGTCAAGGAACTCCGGTGGTGCCTGCGCCGCCTTACCAAGAGGCGCCCTTCCCGGTGCAGCAGCAGCCGCTGTTCCTGCAGCCGGGGCCCACTCACGTTCCTCTCTTTCATGAACCGCCGCCTCACCAAGGGGGCCCGGCTCCACCAATTCATGTAGTACCTGCGCACGTACCTGGGCCACCACCGCCACCACCACCTCAACCACCTGTTCAAAATATGGTACATCCCCAACAACCACCTCCGCCACCTGCAGCTAGCACAAACACAGAGCCACCGATCATGAACGACATCTACTTTTCTGGTCGACCAGCCGACTTGCGCGATTTTTTACAAGAAATTCGCGACGCCGTTTGAAACGCTTACGACCGGTTTGCTGATGACACTCGCCATATCAATTGGGTTGCTCGGCATTTTCGAACACGCGACGCTCGCGGGTTCTCTCACGACTCGGCGGCGCATAGCTGGTTCAACGGTTTACTTGCGACGAATGCGCAAAGGATGGGTTTATGGAGCAAATATGCCGATTTAAAAAGTTTTCCTTATGATCTTCCCCAATTATCCAGCTTAGACGACTTCTTTAGAGCTATGATTGATAACTTCTGTGATGTGAATTCTGTCAGAGGTGCTAACAATGCTTTGAAGAATTGCAAACAGGGCAACACCGATTTGCTTGAATTCAATGCCAGGTTCAGAACCCTTGCTGCTCATACCAGTCTTAGCCTTGACTCGCAAATGGACATCTACGAAAGCAACATAGCACCTGCAGTCCTTGGAGCGGCTATCGGTTTCCGCGAATGGGGTCATACTCACACTTTGGATGAACGAATGGTATTGGCAAACAAAGCTGCAGCCATGGCACATCGTTATGCCTCCCTACCAGCAGGTCACCCTTTCAGCACTAGGGGTTCTAGATTCAATTTGCCTCACACTCCGCTCAACCCGCGTCCACCTGCTCCAGTTATTTGAGTTCCTCACGATCCAAATGTGATGCAGATTGACGCCATCACTTCGGCCGGAGAAGCCTCGCCTGCCCTACGGTCTGCGGTCCGGCGAGTGTGCTGGGGAAAGCATTTATGTTTCACTTGTTTAGGTCCCAAATGCGCTCGACACAATCAACCAACTGTGTCGGTAAGAACCAGACACATATCGGAGGTCACGTGACCCGAAATTTCGCTCACACTACAACAAATGACATCTTTACCCAGGGGTATAGAAAAGTAGTGTGGGCATAGAAAACTATTGGTAGGGTACTTTTCTATACCAATAAAAAATGCTTTTGATACACCTATGTAAGATGTTTGCAATTGAGAAATTGAGCGTTCTCTTTGCGCTGACTCAGCTGTATGTAGTGGGACCCAAAGGCAGTGCTACAGTGCGTAGAATCTCAATCTTCTGTTTTTTGATATCTTTATCCCAAAATACAATTCTATGCTGATAAAAGAGATCCTCAACCATGGTCAGCAATGTATGTAAGTATCTATGCACAATCTTACACAGATTGACGGACACTTTTTACATACATACAATATGACTGATGGACCATGCTTTCCCATTGGCCAAGACTCACACCGCGGGAATTGATAAGTATGAAACTCGATTGAGCGAAGTTGCGGTGTCCAAGTCCGCAACTTCCTTCAATCACGGGTTTCGTTTGCAATACGTTCACATTACGTTTGCAGGTTCCCCTCGGGCTGCCCTGTATGCGCACGTCTAGTCAAATTTCATGTATCATGTACAGTCAACCCTCGATGTAAGCATAGAGATTGGCACAGATTTTCTCTTGTTTATAAGGTGATATGCATACATCGCAGGGCACTTTAGCTGGTGGGAGCAAAAATCAGCGCACAATTTTCAATGCTTAAAGCGTGATATGCATACATACTAGATGCTTACATCGAGGTTTGACTGTATCCTGTTTTGTCACAATTCCGTCTCCCTCAGTTCCTTTCACATGATGATCAGAGGCCTCAAAAGGGACCTTAACTACACCAGTAACTTATCAACACGCTCATTCTTAGCTTGTTCTCAAATCCACATAAGGTTAACTCCAATGGTTCTTGAGTGACATCAACAACTTGTTGTATCAATCCTTTGAGATAGATCTGTTTATCATTCTGATTGAGGTATTTTTCCATACATGATCATCAAAACAAAGTCTAAACACAAATAAATTGATCAAATTCAAGATCGATTTCAAAGAACGATTACAAACAGAATCGAAATCAAACAAAAAAATGCAAATATAAGAATTAGGAAGAGAAAGGACAATCATAATCCTACATGTAGATTTTCTGATTGAGAGAAACAAGAGGGGATAGGTATTTGAATTAATTGAGAAAGATACATGATTCATAGCATGAAAGTGAATCAAACAAAGAAAGAAAAAAACGAAGGAAAACAAAGCTACAAGAGTAATTTACATAGAAATTTTATGATTGAAAAGAAATGTAAATGAGTTGATTTGTCAAAACAAAAGAAAGAATTCTAAAGAGTGAAATCATCATGTGTTTTTATGAAAACCTAAGACAGAAAAAAGGATTTCAAAAGAGTATCAGAGATTTGTTTTGGATTTTGATGCAGTGAAGCAGGAGTTTGTTTGACTTACGTTAAAAGAGGATTGAAAGTATCCACAAAAAGAGAGGACAAAAATGAAAGACGAATTTTTTCTTCTACTTGAGGATCTATGAGGGTCTACATATCTAAACGTGAGGGCAGCTCGAGGGGAACCTGCAAACGTAATGTGAACGTATTGCAAACGAGACCCGTGATTGAAGGAAGTTGCGGACTCGGACACCGCAACTTCGCTCAATCGGGCTTCATACTTATTAATTCCCGCGGTGTCAAGAAGGGCTTTGATTCTAGATTGCTATTGAGTCCTTGCGGTCATGTGGATATTTTCAACTGTAGGTATAGGGTAGAATGGTTTGTCTAGGCATAGAGGATACTATCTCTATGGGTATAGAAAAGTACTTCACCCATAGTTTTCTATGCCCGCACTACTTTTCTATACCCCTGGGTAAAGATGTCATTTGGTGTAGTGTCATCCACCTCATTCTCAACACTTTTTATCACCGTCTTCACCTCCTTTCCCCTCGATTCCTCGCGTTTGATGCCCCCCGACGCGACCGACACGGGACAGATGGTCGAGGACGACCCAATGAACAAATCGACCGACGAATGGACAGATCCGAACGCGTCTAGCGAAAGTGCTGACGCGGTTGCCGCTTTTTTGAAGGGCCCAGATCAACGTCTCTCAAAGTCTAAAATCAGCGTCACGACCAATACGCTTGGCCTCACACCACAACCACAACGATCGGAGGTCCCCCACCTCCTAGAGTTCTTGGGAAAGAGAGCAAGGGCTAGTACCCCTGGTCTCGTCGCTCAAGATCACGTTCAAGAGGTCACCGGAACACCGAGAACCGAACGGATGACTAGATTGATCCCAGGCAACGACGAGAGTCGTACACTTGTCGCCCTCCTAGGCAAGCTAGTCGACGTTACCAGTACTGCGATCCAGCTACCAGCCAAGGGTTGAATCGCCAAAAAAGTCGCCATCAATGTCAACACAGCTGCTGACATCCTTGTCCTCGTCAACGCGGCCTTTGACCAGCATCAACTGGATCGCTCTAAGAGAGTCCTATTTAAACCGGCTGCCAACCCTGCAAGCTCCACCAGAGCGGTGGCGCCGTTGCCGAACCCCACACTGCAGCCAAGTGCCTCGCTAGATTTCCAAGCCACCACCGTATTGGACAAGCTTGACGTTCTTTCTGAGAGCCTGCAACTCCTAGTTAACGCCCAGAAGGGTAGACCCAATCAACAAGGGACAATCAAGCCCACAAAGAGCTCGTATGCCTCAGCAGCAGCGCGAATTGACTCTCAAGGAGCTCAAACGCTGCCCTTGATTCACGCTACAGGTCCAAGGACTGTCCCCAAACCCAGAGCCAAGAAGCGTATGATGAACACAATCACTCTGTCGCAGATGGACAGATCCCAGGTGGCCTTAGCATCATTGTCCGTTATCCAGCTCATTCAAGGATTCAATGGCGCTTTCAAAGACCACAACCTAAAAGTCAAAGACTCAGACGAGTCGACCATAACAGTTAAGACAGTCCAAAGACATCCGTTGAATGATCTAGTACTACACCTAGAAAGTGCTGCTCATGCAGAAAAGATACGTGCGGAAGAAAAGGTCTGGCACCCAGGGATCTCAACTTCTCTCCAGATCAAGGCAGAACATTTCACCGTGTTAGTCCACGCCATCCCGACACCCTTTGATCCTGATATCGTCAACCCCCGTGAGGAACTCTTAGCCTCAAACCCAGAGCTATTACAAGGGGCAGCCTTTGTCCGATGGCTCAACCCCAAGCTTAAGGAAGATCCTTCCAAACGCTACTCATCCCTTCTCATTGGATTGACCACTCAAGAACAGGCGGACAAATGTGTTCGCGAGAAAATATGGTTTGGTCGCGGCCTTCATAAGACAGAGATTGGTTGTGAGCCTCCCAAACGCTGCTACAGCTGCAGAAAGACCGGCCACACAGCACCGTCATGCACCATAAGACCGATGTGCCCTTACTGTGGTGGCGAGCACCATGCACATGCCTGCAGCAGGAAAGGTACCGTTGCGATGAAGTGTACTGCATGTGTAAGAGCATTGGTCAAAATAGATCCAACAAAATCAACCAAGGGTCTGTTTGAATCCAACAACCCCGACCTGATCCATTCCCCCTTCCACCCCCGATGTGCTACTCGTATTGCAGCTGAGGCGCCTCCCCACAATCCCAGTTCATCACCCAAAATTGTGGTGATCCCAGAAGCCGATGATACTAACGTCCAATGTTAGAACATCTGCGTCAAAAACTTACCTTACCTGATAACAAGTCAATTCTACAGCTGCATTGTCGCCATTTGCCAGACACAGCGAATTCCCTTTTTAATTCCGAGTTAACTAATTTATTTGCAATACTTTCGCTTCAAGAACCCATGGTAAACAGAGTCGATTACCTACCCCAAGAACAGACTAACTGGACGCTTATCAGTCCCACACCCACTGACATGATACCCGGGCTAGACCACGGGCATGCTTATACATACAAAAGGACCTCCACGCTCAAATCAATCCGCTCACATCGCCATCTAGGGATTTAGGAAGATGACCC